TATTCACAGTGAGGGTGTGGGATACTGTATTCACAGTGAGGGTGTGGTTGTTGGATACTGTATACACAGTGAGGGTGTGGGATACTGTATACACAGTGACGACGTGGTAAAGGAAGTCACTACAGAACCAGTGGATGCACTAGTAGTAATCTTCCAAGAATCCTTAAATTCTAGAAGCAACATCCAGATGATTGGAAACCTCACGATGTAGTACCTTTATTCAAAAATGGAAGGAGAGACAGGTACAGGTCCCCAGGCCAGTTAGATTATCATCTATCTTTGGGAAAAGTTTAGAGTTTAATCTAAAGGATATAACAGCAGAGCATTTAGAAATACAAAACATGGTCCAGCAGCATCAGCATGCGTTCATGTAGGTGAAATTATGTCTGACAAATTTTCTAGATTTCTTTGAGGAAGTAACAAGCAGGATAGATGAAGGGGCAGCAGTGGATGCATTGTTGTTGGAAATGCAGAAGATGTCTAATATGGCACCATGCATGAGGCTACTTAGTAAGAGCAAAGCCCATGGTGTTGGGGGCAGTGTATAAGCATGGATAGAGGACTGGCTAACGAATTGAAGGCTGAGAGTTGGAATAACAGAGGCAATTTCAGAATGGCAGCCTGTAACTCGTGGAGTGCCACAGGGACCAGTGCTGGGGCCACAATTATTGCAGTATATGTTAATGACTCGAATGAGGAAATTGAATGTACTATCGTCAAGTTTGCAGATGACACAAAAAGAGTTGAGAAGGCAAGTGCTGAGAATAACCAGCGAGGCAATGATCTGGTGGTATTCCTGTTAGACTGTTAATCCAGAAACTCAGTGAATGTTCTGGGAATCTGGGTTCGAATCCCACCATGGCAGTGGGGCAATTATAATTCAATAGATGTTTGGAATTAACAGTCTAATGTGACCATGAAACTAGAACTAGTTGTTGGAAAATCTCATCTGGTTCACTGATGTCCTTTAAGGAAGGAAATCTGCCATCCTCACATGGCCCATAACATGTGATATGTAGGATAACAAGGTGTAGAGCTGGATGAACACAGCAGGCCAAACAGCATCATAGGAGCAGGAAGGCTGACATTTCGGGCCTAGACCCTTCTTCAGAAATGGGAGAGGGGAAGGGGGTTCTGAAATAAATAGGGAGAGAGGGGGAGGCAGATAGAAGATGGATAGAGGAGAAGATAGGTGGAGAGGAAACAGACAGGTCAAATAGGCGGGGATGGAGCCAGTAAAGGTGAGTCGCTCCGTGACTCCCTTGTCCACTCCACACTCCCCTCCAGCCCCACCACACCCGGCACTTTTCCCTGCAACCGCAGGAAGTGCGACACCTGCCCCCACACCTCCTCCCTCCCCCCCATCCCAGGCCCCAAGAAGAATTTCCACATCAAGCAGATGTTCACCTGCACATCTGCCAATGTGGTATACTGCATCCGCTGTTCCCGTTGTGGCCTCCTCTACATCGGGGAAACCAAGCGGAGGCTCGGGGACCGCTTTGTGGAACACCTGCACTCGCTTCGGACAAAACAACTCCACCTCCCAGTCGCAAACCATTTCAACTCCCCCTCCCATTTCTCAGACGACATGTCCATCCTGGGCCTCCTGCAGTGCCACAATGATGCCACCCAAAGGTTGCAGGAATAGCATCTCATATTCCGCTTGGGAACCCTGCAGCCCAATGGTATCAACGTGCACTTCACAAGCTTCAAAATCTCCCCTCCCCCTACAACATCCCAAAACCAGCCCAGCTTGTCCCAGCCTCCCTAACCTGTCCTTCCTCCCACCTATCCCCTCCTCCCACCTCAAGCCCCATCCCCATCTCCTAACTACTAGCCTCATCCCACCCCCTTGACCTGTCCGTCCTCCCTGGACTGACCTATCCCCTTCCTAACTCCCCACCTACACTCACCTTTACTGGTTCCATCCCCGCCTCTTTGACCCGTCTGTCTCCTCTCCACCTATCTTCTCCTCTATCCATCTTCTATCCGCCTTCCCCTCTCTCCCTATTTATTTCAGAACCCCCTTCTCCTCCCCCATTTCTGAAGAAGGGTCTAGGCCCGAAACGTCAGCTTTCCTGCTCCTCTGATGTTGCTTGGCCTGTTGTGTTCATCCAGTTCTGCACCTTGTTATCTCTTATGCTAGCTTTCTATGTTTTGTGCACAAATATCCCCAAGTCCCTTTGTGTTGCAGTTTTCTGCAGTTTCTCTCCACTTAAATAATACTCTGTTCTTTTGCTTTCCCTTCCAAAATGAACAATGTCAAGTGCAAATTGAATTACAGATTGCAAAAACTGCAATTTTCCCACATTGCACTCCACTTGCCAACTTGCTTAACCTTCACTTCCTTCCTCCAAGTATTGTAAACAGTTGTGGTCCCCAGCATTGATTCCAGGTGGAATATAATGTGGGGAAATATGAGATTATACACTTTCGCAGGAAGAATAGAGGAGCTGAATATTATTTAAAATGAGAAAGACTGCAGAAGGCTGCAGAACAGAGAGGTTTGGGAGTCCTCAAGCATAAATCACAAAAAGCGAGCATCCAAGTTCATTGGGCCCCTGGGAAGACAAATGGAATGCTGGCCATTATTTCAAAGGGAATAAAAATAAGGAGATCTTGCTAAAACTGTGCAAGGCACTTGTAAGACCATAGCTGGAATACTATGAACAGATTTGGGCCGCTTGTCTGAGTTAGGATACACTGAAGTGGATACGACCTAGAGAAGGTTCAATCAGCTGATACCAGGTATGGAGGGACTCTGTTATGTGGAAAGGTTGAGTAGGTTGGCCTGTACTCATTGGCGTTTAGAAAACTAAGAAAAAATAGAGAAACTTTATTAAAACATACAAGAACAGTTCCGAGGAAGGGTCACCGGACCCGAAACGTGAACTCTGTTTTTTCCTTCACAAATGCTGCCCAACCTGCTGAGTTTATCCAGCAACTTTGTTTTTGATTCTGATTTACAGCATCCGCAGTTCTTTCGGCTTGTATTTAGTATAATTTCAGAGTAAGGGATCACATATTGAAGTCAGAGATTAAGGAATTTTTTCTCTCAGAGGGGAGTGAATCTATGGAATTTTTGTTTAACCACAATGGCTGTTGATGTTGGGTCATTAATTCTATTCAAGGCTGAGATAGACAGATTTTTAATCGGTGAGGGAAACAAGGACTATGGGAAAAAGGCAGGAAAGTGGAGTTGAGGATTATCAGATCAATCATGATCTCATTTGATGATCCTGGTGGGTGAAAAGGCCTACTCCTATTCCTAAATTTAAGTTCACTAATCGAGGTGTATGTGGGGCAGAAACCACTGGATTTCTTAGAACTACAACATGTGAAAGAGCTCAGAATGTTAACATTCTTCCAAAATGTCACAGAATCATTCTGGTGCAGAAAGAACCTATTGAGCCCATTATGCTTACCCTGGTTCTATTAGCCAGTGCCAATCTCCTGCTTTTCTCCCCATTTCCCTGCACATTTCTATCTAAATACCCATCTAGTATTCTCTTGACTGCCTCAATTGAACCTGAGTCCCCCACGTTTCCAGGCAGTGTATTCCATACCCTAACTACTCACTGTGTGAACATGGTTTTATCTCGCATTGGCCCTGCTTCATTTATCCATCACTTTAAATCTACAAGTAGAAACAGCTCCTCTCATTTACACTATCTAACCCACTCATAATTTTCAAAACATCTATCAAATCTCCTCTCTGCTTTATTCTCTCCAAGAAGAATAGTCCTGACTTCTTCAATCTATTCCTGTGACTGAAGTTTCTCAACCGGGAACCATTGTTGGAAATCTCCTCTGTACTCTCTCTAATGCATTCACACATCTCCTATAGTGGAGCACCCAGAACTGTACACATTACTCCAGCTGAGGTCTAACAAGTGCTTTTCAGTACTGCAGATTTTATAACCATATCATCTTCGTATCCATAGGGCATATTCTAGATGACCAGGACCTCATCGATACCCTTCAAAAGTCAAAAGACATGTCCAAAGAGATTAAACTGCGAATTGAGGCCTCAGAAGAAAATGAGAGGAAAATCATGGCTGCTCGCAAGAAATATTTGCCAATGGCAACCCGGGGCTCGGTCATGTACTTCGTAATGGATGAGTTAGCGAAGCTGAACTGTATGTACCAGTTCTCCCTACACTGGTTCATGAAGATCTTCACTGAGTCAGTCAGTGACATGCACAAACCACACACCAGAAGGCCACAGTCAGGATACATCCGACGCACGGGTAAATTAAAACGCTCAGCCAGTCAGTACAGCAACTTAATGTCCAGCAAAGCAAGGATGCACATCGGCTTCAAATCCTACTTACAGAACATGATGAACACACTGACCGAGAATACGTACAAGGTATCTCGCAACTCAAATCACTGGTAGCTTCTCACTGGGGTCTGCCACAGACATTCAATAGTGAGGGTGTGGGATACAGTAATCAGAGACAGGGGGTGGGTATGGGATACTGTATTCACAGTGAGGGTGTGGATATGGGATATTGTATTCACAGTGAGGGTGTGGGATACTGTATTCACAGTGAGAGTGTGGGTGTGGGATACTGTATTCACAGTGACAGTGTGGGTGTGGGATACTGTATTCACAGTGAGAGTGTGGGCAACTGTATTCACAGTGAGGGTGTAGGATACTGTATTCTCAGTGAGGGTGAGGGTGTGGGATACTGTATTGACAGTGACGGTGTGGAATACTGAATTCACAGTGAGGGTGTGGGAAACTGTATTCACGGGGAGGGTGAGGGTGTAGGATACTTTATTCACAGTGAGGGTGTGGGATACTGTATTCACAATGAGGGTGTAGGATACTGTATTCACAGTGAGAGTGTGGGAAACTATTCACGGGGAGGGTGTGGGATACTGTATTCACAGTGAGGGTGTGGGATACTGTGTTCACAGTGAGGGTGTGGGATACTGTATTCACAGTCAGGGTGTGGGTGTGGGATACTGTATTCACAGTCAGGGTGTTGAGTACTGTATTCACAGTGAGAGTGTGGGATACTGCATTCACAGTGAGGGTGAG